TGTGTGTGGTGTGTGTGTGTGTGTGTGTGTGGTGTGTGTGTGGTGTATGTGCACGTGTGTGTGTATGTGTATGTGTATTTGTGTGTACATTGTATGTGGAAGTCAGAGGACATCAGGGATCAGTTCTCTCCTTCTACCATTTAGGTCCCAGGTTGAACTCAGGTCACCAGGCCTGGCAGCAAACACCCTTATGCACAGAGCCATCTCTCCAGCCCAGTATCTAATTTATTTCAATCCTGGAGGCTTTAGCTTAGACGCCCCCTCCCCACTCTATTTGAGGTAGCTCTGCCCATATTCTTTCCAGCTGTGTGGTATCACTAGTCCATGCATTTGCCTGCTTGATTTTTACCTAACCCTACGTTTACTTCCTCCGTGCAGTTGGGAGGTAGGCTGTATTATTCATCATTATTCTCTATTATGCATCCAACACAGATAAAGAGGGTTGCTCTGTAAAACCTCTGAGTCAAATTGGCCTGCAACAAAAGATGTGTTGCCAGGGTCTGGGGGTGGGGTGTGAATGGAGAACAGAGGTGTCTAGGACAGTGAAGCAGTTCTCCATGGCAGTACAATGGTGGGCAGTGTTGTTCATTCTTCCAAACACATGGACCACACAATACAGCTCGAACCTGACTGTGCCAGGGCCCTGGATAGTGACGTCACCAGAACAATGCAGGTTGCTGGGAGATGCTGCCAGCATGTGAGGCCACTTGTGAACAGGGATGTGGACAGAAAGTGAGGCCACATGTGGAGAGGGATGTGGAAAATCCATAATTTTTTTCTTAACTTTGCTGGGAGCACAAGAGAGCTGCAAATCACTGATTAAAAAATAAATAAATAAAAATAACTAAAAACCAACAACAAAGCGGAGACCAGAGGCCACAAAATACCACCAGATGGCGCCATTTCTCTCAGAAGTTTCAATGAGGACCCCAATTAGGGAAGTTGTTGGTGCTGAGAACGTAACTGAGATTGTGGCTTCCTCTGCCTTGGCTCTGAAGCTCACAGGCCTTCACCATATTGCCGCAGCCCAGTCCCTCTGTGTACTTTCAATGGGTTTTTATTAAGTGTAGATTATATTATTACTCAGATAAGGTGAAGCCAACAGATCAGCAGACAACCTTATTGGGAAGACGGCTCATTACAGCCCTCCAGAGAAGACACATCCCAGCTGGAGGCCAGGAGGCAGGAGGATGAAGATGCAGCCGGAGCCTTTATTGTGGTTTCTATGGCAACAACGGAGGCAGGGCATTTGGTTTAGGACTAGCAGGTTTGAATAATTTTAGGGCTCTGGGGCAAGCATAGGGGCTGTTTCTTGTGTCTGGTACCTGTTCCTAGGGTGATGAGGGCAGGGGACAGTGGCCCCACATCTAAGAGCCTGGTAAATATGTGATTAGGGGTGGCCTCTGCATTGGTTGGTTTGCTCATGAAAAGCAAACTTTCCTGAAAGTTCTTTTGCTATCTCCAGGAGTTGACTAATCTAGGAGGGGCATCTCTCCGGGGTCAGCAAGGCAAAATATCATACCACGAGAACCCAAGGTTCTCAAGTGTGGGGTTGAAGCAATAGCCAAGCATTTTCCTGTGAACCCTCAGATCACTCAAGGGAGTTCGGATTTACTGCCGAGCAAATCCTCCACACACATGCTATAGAGAAAGATCTAGTTTCTCCTATAACCCAAAACCAGCAAGAATGTTATCATAGCAGTAGACTTTGTCCACCAGTTCCCTGACTCAGAAAAAGCCTGCAACACTAGAGCTTCAAATCACTCCTCATGACAGGCTTGTGGTCCTGTGAGGGCTGAGAGCAGAGGAAGGGTCCTGTGGCCCTGACTCACTTGTCTGCAGAAGCCCAAGGACCAGGACAAGAGTCTGCCTGCAAGAAGCAGCCAACCAGGGTGCTGCCCCGAGGTGACCCCGGGGACAGGGAGTTTCCAGGTGGGTGTAAACGTGAAGGAGAGCTGGGCACAGCTGTATTACAGCCGCACAATCTTGAGTGACGCGCTGTTTGTGGCAGCAGGCAGCCCCAAGCCAGTGATAATCCCTTCTTCTAATCTGGTCTCATTAAACGGGCACGAGGCTTAGAGCAGAGGAGTGGGGTCCTCTGTGGGACCGCGAAGTTTTTAAATGTCTTTAAAAACGAAAGGACTATGATCGTAAGAAACAGCACGTAGGGGACAGCGTCACAAAGCGGGAAGGCTGTTCAATGACAGCTGGCTTCTCCTCCTCACCTCTCCTCCTACGGCTGTACGGCAAGGCGGCTTCAAGCCCCCAGATGTGTGCTGGGAAGTGTACCACCACATATAGGTAGCAGTGTGCCAGCTGATACAGCTACCAATATATGATTTAAGTTCAGTTTGTGGGCATGGCAGATGCATTATGTTGAAAGGAGTCATTTGTGGAGTGAAGTGCTAGGAAAAATGATTATTTGGAGGTGAAAGGAAAAATGTGAATTTGATGGACTTTATCTAGGCTATCTCCTGTTAATCATTTGAAGTTGGCTGCTATAAGGGGTTGAAGATTAATGTATGTAGCACAATCCTCTTGAGCCAAGACTGCCTTCACTGAATTCTCCCTGGGGTTAATCTGATGCCCCCCCCTTCTCCCTGCAGATCTATATCAACACCAGACAGTGGGATGCCTTTGTTTCCAGGTGTCTGAGTGTGTGGGTCCCATCTGCGAGGCCACAGAGCAGCAGCCACCAGGAGGGAGACGTGTCCCCAGGTCTACAGGACCCAGCATGTTGGAGAGAGGAGCCAACTCTTGGTTTTACTCCTGCGAAACCAGGGCACAGAGGGAGAAGGAGAGGAGGAATCAGTGGCTCTCAGAAATACTGCTGAGGTACAGAGAGCAGATGCTGAAGGGCTTCCACCTGGGCCGGGTGCTCCCCTACCTGGTATATGATGGCGTGTTCTCCCTGAAAGAATACAGAGAGATCCTCTCTCGGGACTGCTACCCAGAAAGAGTGGACTGTTTTCTCTCGAGGCTTTTCTCCAAAGGTCCGAGCGCTTTCTGTGCCTTCTGCTCTCACCTGGAGGAGTTCAGCCCTTACCTGCTCACCTTGCTTTTCCTTTATTACCAAGGTAAGGACACATTTGCTCTAGAGGTAGTAAATATAACGATTATGATCAGATCCAGACATCTGCAATAACCCAGCTCACACTGAGGAATGAGTCTCAAAGCAGCACTAATTTAGAGCTTACTAAAAATGTCCAGATTTCTAAAAAAAAAAAAAAAAAAAAATTCACAATGTAGAAACAGATGCTAGGATACAAAAGAAAATCGTGCACAGCTCCTGACACAGCCTGAGGGGGTGTCTAAATATCTAAAATATCTTTCTTGTTTCAGTGGTGATTTCAAGTGCAAGTCATAAAGTGCTAATGGGTTAAGAAATCGGGCTGAAATTTTATTCACAAAAGACACAAATACTATGATGCTTCTTCAAAACTATCAAAGTTATCATAGGACTCCACAGTTCCACTCCTGGGCATCCACCCAGAAGAAATGAACGTGTGTCCACATAAAGACCTGCGTAACAATATCCACAGGAGCATTGCTCACAACAGCCCCAAAGCAGAAATATCCCAAATGTTCACCAACTGAGGAGTGAACGAAGTGTGGTATGTCCATACAATAGAATATCATCCTGACATTAGGAGGACTGGAGATTGCGTGCACGCTGCAACACAGATGAACTTCAAAAACGTTACAGAAAAGAAAGAAACAACTCAAAATGCCATGAAATCACATTCATGGAATTACATTCATATAATGTCCAGAGAAAAACTGGAGCTGTAGCTCTGTGGTCGAGCACTTGCCTAGCATGTATTAGGCCCCAGTTCAGTCTCCAGCACTGAAGAATAAAAAGTCTCAAATAGGTAAACCCATAGAGACAAAAAGCAGGTTACTGGTCACTAGAGCTGGAAGTAGGGGTGCAGAAGTAGGGAATGAATGCTTGTGGGGGAGGGGTGATAAAAATGCTCTGGAGTTAGTCCTGATGGCCGCACACCCCTGTAAAAACACTGAAAAGCAAGGGGCAATATTATGGCGTGTGAGTTACATGTGCAGGGAGCTGCTTTTAAAAATAATCATGCAAATATTTGCTGTTTCTCTTCTCTCAGTCTTCCCAAGAGAGCCCTGTAGTTGAGTCTCCCGAATTCTCCACTTCTTCCTTCTACAATGAGAGGATTGTACACTGCTGAGATGTGCTTGGGATGCCTAACACGAGAATAAAAATGAGGAGGATGGACTGAAGGAGGAAAACTAGGCCAAGCCTGGTTTAGGAAAGTGACAGTGACATGCGTCTAGGGCAGCTGCAGGACCAGTGGGGACAGAGGCCAGTGGAGGGGATTGCTGTTTGTGAGGCTGAGGCTTGCATGGGCATGCAACAGGAGGTCTGAACATTTGGGAGTGGTGTTGGTTGCTGAGTTCCATTTGTTTATGACACTTCTCCATGACCGAGTTCTAAGGGCCCAGCTTTCTGGGGGGTGTCTTTTAAGATTTATCCTTGTAGGCAAAGAAGTGTCCTTAGCTTTTAGGATCATCGTTGTGGATTTCAGGTTTATGGTAGGTTGCCGATCCTACAGCCTTGTAGCTCTCAATAAAGTAGTCAATATACAGTCAGTCGATAAATCAAGTCTAAATCAAAATCTTCTTATATTAGGATATAACATAATCTGAATTTCTGTGTCATAGACATGTGTGAATTTGATCATTTATCCATTGTTCTGTCTGACTTCATAGTGTCTACTGTGTATTAATACATTATGATTACTGAAACCAATTTACAGTGTCAAATACTTGATTGTTATTAAATATTTGTAATACTTTTGAAAAACCGATAAATATTTTTACAGTGTAATTTAACATAAGCTAGATATCTTATTGCAGTGACTGTTTAATATTTTAGGTGAGGGACAAACATAGAGTGAGTTTGGTTCATTTGCTTACAATTTTTTAATCCAAAGAAATAGCCGTGGCTGAGAAGGAAGAGAGCCAGGAAAACAGTTCAGTTGAGATGTTTACTGTATCTTTAATGTATTATTCTTTAAGACAATTCTAAAGAATGTGTTGAAATGTGGCGGTGCACACCTTTAACCCCAGCACTTGGGAGGTAGAAGCAGATGAATCTCTGAGTTTGAGACCAGCCTGGTCTATAGAGAGATTCCAGGATGGCCAGGACTGCACAGAGAAACCCTGTCTTGAAAAAACCAAAAAAAGTGGAGAGTTAGAAACATGGGTCCCCATCACATTATTGTCTGTATTTTCCTGCACATTTTAAAATGTTACTAAGCCAAAGTAAAAATCAATAAATAAATGAAATAAAGAAGTTTATTTCTTTACTATTTAATTAGTTAATTTGAGAGTGGCAAGATGGCTCGGGGAGTAAAAGTGCTTCCTGTACAAGCCTGGCGACCGAGTTCAAGCCTCACTAGCCAAGTAAAGGTGGAAGGAGAGAGCCAACTCCACAAAGTTGTCCCTGGCCTCACATGCCATGGCATGTCCCCCTATCATACACTAGAGACAATAATAAACAAACTCACACGTAAATACCATTTTATTTGAAAATGAAATAATCTGATTATAACTACACTAATTGTACACCTGGTAGTGTCTTATGGAAATACAAATGCACCATAACGAACACCATAAAGACCAAGGGATATGAATAACATCTGTAGCTGGTGTTGTGCCAGCGTCAATTTCCTGAATTTAATCAGTATAAGGTTATAAAAAATGTTATTATTCAGAAAAGTTGAGAAAAGCCTCCCTGGGAATTCTCCATGCTATTTTTGAAATTTCTATGGAACTCCAAAATGACTTAAAACCAACAAAGTTGCAAAGGAAAGATAATAGCAACGACACAATCAAAATGGAACTGGAGCATGACTTTTGTTTTTATTTTGTGAAACAGGGTTTTGTTATAGAACCCAGGCTATCTTCAAGCTCATGATCCTCCTGCCTCAGCCTCCCCAGTGCTGGATTAGAGGCTTGTGTCAGCATGGCCAGCATTGGAGATCTAGTTTCTAACATTAGTTCTGAAAACTAAAATTAAAAACAATGTGCATGCTCTCTTAGCACTTGACTGTCAGAATTTGAGTTTTAGCCTGGTTGTGTAAGGGACATTACTTGGTGCTAATTCTGGACTGTTAAGCACGTTATCTGCAAAGGCTCACGTCCCCCCAGAGTTGGGTGGCACATCTTGCTCTCAAAGACTTGCCCTTGGTGGCCCAGAATGGGGCTACTTTATGATGAGCTGTAGTGACATCCACCTTCTTTCTTTCACTGCGTGTGAGTAGCCTCAGTCCATGTTAACACCAGAGAGACTTTACAGTTCTTACAATACAGAAGGGGCTAGCTGCTGTCACTCACGTTCAGGTGAGACTGAATGAGCAGCTCTTAGGCAGAGCTCCCTCTCTGAGGGAGGCAGAATAGTCTGTCTAGGAGGAAAGAGGAGTGGGGCTGGAGGGACAATTCAGGTGTGAGCACATGAGGGAAGAGCCAGGAGGGTGCCCCCCCCCCAGTCCATCTTTCCTATAGCTCATCTCCAGGGTGAGCCTCTCCTCCCATGGGTTTTAGTATAGCTCACAAGTCATATGTCTGCAATGGGCAAGCCTGGAGTCAGGCTCATATGTGTATATTAGTTACTTATCTGTTGCTGTGCTAAAACACTATGATGTAGGTAACATATAGACGTGATGGTTTATTTGACTTACGGTTCCAGAGGTTAAGAGTCCATCGTGGCAGGGAAGAGTAGCAGCACACTGCAGGCATACAGCAGGAACTGAATGCTGAACGCTCATATCTTGAACTGTAAGCATGAAGCAGAGAAAACAGACTGGAGGTAGGGTGAAGAGAAGCACTCTCAAAACCCAGCCCTCCTGACATGCCTCCTCCAGCAAACCACACCCTCTAAACCTTCCTAAACAGCACCACTAACTAGGAACCAAGTATTCACATACCTGAGACTAAGGGGGACATTTTCTTCTTCAAACCATCACAGGAGGAGAGAAGCGGCCTTCCAAGAGCTAAAGAAAGGGAAGACAAGACAGAAGATGGTGTGAGTGGGCTGGGGGCAGGTCAGGTAGGGGGTGGGTGAACAGGTTGGTGAAATAGCATCAAATGTCCAAGAGGGATGACAAAACATTGTAACTGATGGATCATCAACTCTTTGCTGGGTACCATGGCCTCTCAGGCCAGCATGAGGGAAGTCAATGCCCCAAGCTTAGGTAGAAAACATGGTCATTTTCTAAAGAGGTAGAAAATTACTTCCAGCTGGGTGTGGTGGCTCACGCCTTTAATCCAAGCACTTGAGAGGTACAGGCAGTGGATCTCTGTAAATTCAAGGCCAGGCTGGTGTACATAGAGAGTTCTAGGTTGCATTGTGAAGCTCTGTCTCCAAAAACAAAACAAAAGAAAAGAAAAGAAAGAAAGAACAAGGAAAATGAAAAAGAAAAAAGAAGAAAGAAATGAATGCCACTGGTGAATTTCATGGGGACCCTCCCTGTGACACTGGCTCCCAGGCCAGGCCAAGAAGGGAAAGGCATGAGTGTCACTGGTCAGGGACCCAAGAGGCCATGCTTGGAAGGGATTCTGAGGCCACTGTGGTTTCCTTCTTCCTGTGTTCCCATTTTTAAATATTTCAAGGAAAAATAATATTTATTAAATATACATTTTACTTACTGTGTGTATAGGGAACAGGGGACAATTTACAGTTACGGAGTCAGAGCTGTCCTTCTGCCCTCTGGGTCCCAGGGATCAAACTCGGGTTTGATGGCAGGTGCCCTTAGCCACTGAGCCTACCACTAGCCCCCAAATGGGTATTTCCCCCCCAAAACCTCTATATCTAGAAAAAAAATGCCAGTATGTTCTCTTGGAGAGGTGGGAGAGGAAGAGAGAGAAACTGACTATTCCTAGTCAAGACGGGCAAGTATTGATTTTCAACAGTTAATGATTGTGTTAGCTAGGGCCTCATGTAGCCCAGGCTGGCCTCGAACTGGCTAACTGGAAGATGGTCTCGAACTCCTGATCCTTCTGTCTCCACCACTCAAGAGCTGTGACGACAGCATGGGCCCTGACGCCTGGATCATCTTAAAATGAACTAACAGAATCTTTCTTCAGAAAAATGTGAACTGGGTCTCGTTTGTCTTTTGACGTACAACCTGAGACGGCCAAACCTAGCGTCAAACGTTGTCTCAACCCTAGAGAAGAAAAGAGGGGTAGCAGCCGTGAGTGGGCTCACACCAGTGTCTGTCAGACATGTGACAATCACCTGTGTTGTAACGCAGAGCAGACCCAGAGGACCCTACAAGACGCGCTTGCGGCAGAGGCGGCGGCGGCGAGGGCTGGAGCTCAGCGGGACCCCAGCGATGTCTCGGTCGCCGAAGAGCAAAGGGCTCGGTTATTTCACAAGTATGTTAATGTTTTCAGAGTGTTTGCAACCTTTAAAACATCCCGCCTTTCCACTTTTCATCTCCCTCCTCCCCCACCTCCTCCTCCCTGTCTCCCCCTCTCCCCGCTCCTCTCAGGATCCTCATTCCCCTGTGCTCCTCAGCTCATTGCAAAGAGTTCTGCTGAGGCACGTGTCTTGTAGGATGTGCCAAGGCCAGCGTGTGACTTCTTGGTTGTCGTAGTGTAACAGAAGAACGGTACTTGAAGGTTGCGATCTGATTGTGGGCAGGTGACTCTGGCCTGGCTCCTTCACAGCGTCCCAAACAACCATACATGTCAAAGGGCTAATTCTAAAATCAGAGTGGGACTTATAAGTTGATCAGTGGTCCTTTAAAAAGCGTGCTGATGCTTCTTTCAAAGAAAAAAAACAGACTCTCTCAATTGCTTGTAGAACGTTCTGGAATTGCTCAACACATGCGGACTTCATCTGCCTTTTGGGTTTATAAATTGCCCGTGTTGTGGACGAGACTAAGGCCTGAACCGTGGTTAGACTTCGTGTTCATTCCTTGCAGGTATAAGCTTCCAGAGAGAAAGGATTTTCATAAAGTGGGAATTGAAAACAGCCGTTAAAATGGCCCTCTATGTTCCTTGATCTTCCAAAGCATGAAATGCAAGGCCGAAGGTGTATTGGCCGACAGTTTTCTTTAATTTGCTTATCTCTTCTAAGTATCTAAGATGTGATCAGTAAATCCTCTAGAAGATGCACAAGCCGGTGTTGACTGTGTTTAAATTGTCAGGCTTATTGTAAATTTGCCCTGCTGCCTCTGCTGCCACAGTCTGTTCCCTTTAAACATATCCTGGCTTTCTCCCTGGGAAGAGACCGTGCAGCTTGCAGCCAAGCTGACAGTGGTCCCTGAACCTGACCTTGGGTGCCCTGCAGGGCCAGGAGACTTAATCAGGCTGGAACTAGCTTGCTGATTCAGGGCTAGCCCCCTCCATGCTGAGCAACACAGCCATCTGGCCCTGTCCAAGAGATGAGGTCTGGCTCCATTGCTCACATCCCTTCCTGTTCAAGATTCTGGACTCCCCATGCCTCCAGCATTTGTGAAAGTGGGGACTTGTATTTCTTTTCTGTCATCTTTCTTTCAGTGAACAGAAAGGACTGAGCAGTATTTATAAGTAGGAATAGCACAGACACACCAACAGTCTGATTTTAAGGAATTGGCTCACATGATTTTGGCGGCTGGCGAGTCCCCGAACTGCTGGTCCCTGGGAATTTAGGCAAGAGTTGGTGTTGCCACCAGGACTCGGAGTCTTGGGAATCTGGAGGCAGTGGTTTCTGTAGGCAGCTCTGAGGAAGCCTCAGCCCCTCCTCCTGTGCTCATGTTCTCTGATTGGATGAGGCCCATCCACAGGACAAAGGACAATATGCACCACCCCAAGTCTATTGATTTAAATATTAATCACATCTAAAAATAAGTTCATAGCAACGTCTAGGTTGTAATCAGCTAGGCACAACAACCCAGCAAACATGACCTAAAATTAAGCATCACGTGCATTGTGTAACCTTGGCAACCTGCTTAAACTCTGTGTGCCACAAGCAGTAGAGTTTTCTAGATTCTGACGTCTTGTCTTAGGAGGAAGGATCATGTTCCTGAATTCTGATTATAGCTTATTCATCCCTGAGTTCTAGATCCTTCTTTCTTCTCTTTTGGACCTGCATCTCAGGATAAAGTAAGGATAGAGTGATACTGTGTCAACTTGGTGGGGCCACAGTGTCCAGATATTTGATTAAACATTATTCTGGATGTTTCTGTATTTGAACTGGATGAACATTTACACTGTTAGATTTTTGAATAAACTAGAAGACGCAAAACATGGGTGGATCTTCTCAGATAAGTTGAAGGCCAGAATGAACAGAACAAAGACTGGCTTTCCTTTAAAAACAAGAAATTCTGCTGTTCAACTGATTTGATCTTCTCCCTTCCTCTTCCTGTTCTCTCTCTCTCTCTCTCTCTCTCTCTCTCTCTCTCTCTCTCTCTCTCTCTCTCTCTCTCTTTCTCTCTCTCTCTCTCTCCCCATTCTTTTTCTATATATAAGTGGAAATAAAAACAGTGCTCAATCACATCTGTTTTAGACCCCAAGTGTATAGAAGCCAGGGCTCCAAGGCAGCCCCTTGAACTTGGCTTCCTTTCTGATTCCTGGGGAAGGACTGCTGTACCTTTTTATTTTTCTTTTCCTTTCACTCCTAAGTTCCACATCTGCCACCAGCTTTTCTCTCAGCATCTGGGTTAATATAGGTGCCTGTGGGCTGCGGAGTGCGCTGGAGGACTCCAGCCGTGTTCGCCTGGGCTCGCTCTGTGCTGACACAAGTCTCAGCTTTTTCTCTTTCTGAATTCAGCGTCCTAAACTTCCACTTCCACCACTTTGGGTTATCACACTAATAACGGGAGTATGTTATGAAGTTTCTAGATCATCATCCCTTCAAAACAGCTCATGAGAAGAACATTAATTCAGATAAGTCACACACACACACACACACACACACACACACACACACACACACCATTCTGTTTAGATTATGAACTAATAGGGGGCCTAATTTTATAAGGGAGTTGTGAGTTACTTTCCTGAGTGGGTTTTTTACCACGTTAACATCAAACTCGACTTTAATTCCCTTGGCCTGTTAGAGGACGTTTCAAGGGCCCACACATTGCTGACATTGTGCAAGCCACCCTCCATGCCCTCTGTGTGAAACCACATGCTCTCCCTACTTCCCTGAGCTCACCATTGGAAGGCAGAGGAACAGGAGCTGACCCCCCACACACACTGCAGCACAGATCATAAAGGGCAGGCCAGCAGGAGTCCTTCAAAGAGGGCCTCATCCCTGCTCAGCTAACTGAAACGTGATTTTTCTCATATGGCTGAAGGGCTAAGAAAGAATGGAGTTAACTGGGACACGGCAGATTCTGGCTTCTCCTCCTTTTCCTGCTCATTCAGTCGCCCAAACAATGGCAGCCTTCCTTGCTTGCAGAGGCACACATGAGAGAAAAAGAAAACAGAGGTCAGGGCATGCCACAACCCCCCCCTGAAGTGTCTGTGGGGATAACCTCAATTTTTAGGAGGAGACAATAAATTGAAGAGCCTGTCCCTACCCACACATATCTGTATGAATTCACCAAGGCAACTGTATCTAGGACCTAGGATCTACCAATGAGAGGCCAGTGACAGACCTCATCTAGACAAGGCTGCAACATCCAAGACTGAGCCACGCCCTGCAAACCTAAATGCATTGGGAAAAAGCGTTGAGACAAAGGCTGGTCATACTTTATACCTAAAATTGTAACTCAAGAATTATGTCCCTTTGGTGACTTGATAATTCAATGAGAGTCTAGATCAGTGGTTCTCAACCTGTGGGTCACAACACCTTTGAGTGTCCAATGACCCTTGCACAGGGGTCACTAAGACCATCAGAAGACACAGATGTTTACATTATGATTCATAACAGTAGCAAAATTACAGTTATGAAGTATCAACAAAATAATTTTATGGTGGGGGGGGTCACCACAGCATGAAGCACTGTATTAAAGGGTCGCAGCATTAGGAGGGTTAAGAACCACTAGACTAGATACATCCATGGGATAGTGAGACATTTCTTATCATCGATACAAGTCTGCAAAATCCACAAGGACTTTCCAACATGCTATTCTCATCTCCCTTGTATGAAGTTATCCAGAAGCCCCAGGTTTAGGAACAGGTTCAAAGAGGGCATGACTTCCTCTAGGTTCTGCATTCTTTCTTCTTTTTAGAGACCCCATTGTTTCTAAAAACCCCGTGTATCTCCATAAAGAGCACTATATCTAAGACCCACACAGATAAATGTGGCCACCCTAGCTCTTAAGACGAAGGATGAATAGAGACCTATTTCCCACTCCTGTCTACCACAAACTCCGCTGTGGGTAGAAAACAGTCAAGCCATAGCCAACCTGGTCCAGCAAACTGAAGCACAGTTACCATGGCAACAACATATGTTCAACATACGCCTGGGATCCAGACTCCTTGGCGGATTAATTCCCCGGGAGTCATATTTCAAAACCCACCCTATTGCAGCCTATCTGGGAGCCTGTTGGGGTGTGTATTCTGGAGTGTTTCCAGGCTGGGAAGAACGGGACAAGGCTGTGTTGTGTTATCATTCCAATCAGAGCTTGACTTGATGGACCCAAGGAGGTGTGGGTACAGGAGACGGCAATTCTGACTTATAAATCCTTGGGTCTGCTCCTAGGACCTAAGGAAAAGCTGTAGGCGACTGTTTGATGAATGGGGGTGTGGGTGAATGTTTGGAGGAGGGGCCTTGGAAAGAAGGCACTGGTCAATGAAAATAGATCGAAATTCATTCAGAGGGGGAAAAATGTGGTGATAGAGTTGGGTGTCGGGGAAAGTGGGATATTAGATGAATCTGCTTTTGGTTTAAGAATGGTTAGGGTTATAAGAGTTCTTCCTTTTGGAGAAGCTGGGCAGACAAGCAGTCATGTGTGCTCTTGGGTTTGCTAGGAAGAAGAGGCAGTTCAAACTCCAGTGGATGCAGATAGGAGGGGGTACTTAGAAGGGGACTCATTCTCCTCTCAAGAGTCATTTTTTCCCAGATACTCATCTGTCATGCATTCCAGTTTGAAATGAGTTAGTACACTCCCCATTACCTCTTCCACCCCACACCCTCCCCCTTATCCTTTCTGAGGGTAAGCTCAACTAGGCCACGAACTTTGTGGTTTTTCTTTAAAATACTTTAACTGTATTTTTTTTCCTTAGAAGTCAGGCCAACAAACAAAAAATGCAGTGGTGGTGCACGCCTTTAATCCCAGCACACAGGAGGCAGAGGCAAGCAGATCTCTGAATTCGAGGCCGGCCTGGTCTACAGAGTGAGTTCCAGGACAGCCAGGGCTGCAGAGAGAAACCCTGCCTCAAAAAAAAAAAAAAAAATAATTGGGCCAACAAGATGACTGCATTCAATCCCAAGAAACCTACAGTAGAAGAGAGAAAACACCTTCAAACATGTTTGCACATGTATGGTGTGGCACAGGCACCAGCACTCACACAAAGACACACGCAGTAGTAGATACATAACATTAAATGGTGTAAGGCCCTGCTCTGTTTCCGCACTCTGAGGCTTCTCAGGACACACAGGACCCCTTTCTGTCTTGTTCTCTCTCTTTCCCCAGCTGTTTCCCTTAACCCTACCTCCCTGCACATGAGCAAAAGGAAAAAGGATCTGCCTTGTATTTCTAGAGCCCAAGGGGCCTGGGATGGTGTTCCCTGGTTGCTAGGCCATGAGAAGACATGAAAGGCAGTGCCTCTCCCAGTCTCAGCCAGCCCAGCTCCCAGCCTCAGCCAGCCCAGCTCCCAGCCTCAGCCAGCCCAGCTCCCAGCCTCAGCCAGCCCAGCTCCCAGCCTCAGCCAGCCCGGCTCCCAGCCTCAGCCAGCCCAGCTTCCAGCCCCATCCAGCCTTCATCCTGCTTTGTTTCTTTCATGAGTTTAATCTCACAGACATCTGTCCCCCGTGTGTGCTCTGTGTGTTTTTGCTCCGGGAAATGATACCTCTCTTAGGATAGCTGGTTTTATTCACTGGCACAGCCCTAGTTTCTGGAGCTATGTGAAGAATATAGGAGACAGGCTAAGATCTATTCCTAGGGCATGAGCTGACTTTCTGGATCCCATTACCTACGGTTGGACACCTTGCTCACCCTTTGGGGTGGGGGGCTGGGTCCTGTCTCAATTGAATGTACCAGGTTCTGCTGTCCTCCCATGGGAGGACTTACCCTTTTTGAGGAGGGGATGAGGGGTGGGTTGGCGGGGGGGGGGGGGGGTGCGCACGGCTTAGGTGGAGATGGTGGGGAGCAGGAGGAGGGATGAGAGAGGGATAGATCTGTGGTTGGTATGTAAAATGACTTAAAATTTTTTTTAATTAAAAGAAAGAAAAAAGAAAGAGAGCTCATGCTTATGATGTTAAAAACAAAACAAAACAAACAAAAACAACTGATCAAAATGGGCCATAGTGGTGGCTCAGTGGTTAAGAGCACAGACTGCTCTTCTAAAGGTCTTACATTCAATTCCCAGCAACCACATAGTCGCTCACAACCATCTATAATGAGATCTGATGCCCTCTTCTGGCATTCAGGTATAGATACAAACAGAGCACTCATACCTAAAAAATAAATACATGAATAAAATAAAATTTAAAAAAACTGAACAAGAGCTCAGGCAAAGGTTTAATAAAATATATCAAAACACTGAATTCTTCACTAATAGAGGCTGGGAGTGAACTAAATCCCACATACGGCCTGCTTTACACTACTGATGAGTCATAATGTATTTGCTTGTGTGGCTTTCAGCCTAGCCACCAAGGTTGAAC